GGGGGGGGGCGGGGGGGGGGGGGGGGGGGGGGGGGAGCCCTAGGGGGCGCCAATTAAGCCCTTGTACGTGGCCTTGTCCAAACAGAATTATCCTCATTCTTGATAGACTTGGTAATTCATGTTGGGAATTGAAAACCATTTTTTTATTTGCTCATAGTATTAGGAACTAGAATTTGTAAAATATATGAAGAATAACAGCATATGTTGACGTAGGAAATTTTAATATCGAAGAAAATCTATGGATTTTTAAAGAAAAAGATATTCTATTATTGAAAAATTTTTACAATAACAACAGATTCTCCCAGACACCCATGTCTCCAAGTACGCCCCCAAAAATTTAATTGGGATCGCAAGTGTCATTGGAGATAATTCATAACTATCTCAAACTAGGATAAATAAAAGAATTAAATCCGACGTACAGGAAAGAAATTCACAAGGGTCTGCTAGGTCCCTCACTGTAGCAAGCAGAAGCCACATGTTGAAAAAGGGAAAAAAATTTGTGGCAGGCCCCACCCTATATGTATCATGGCAAGGACCTGTGAAACAGGTCCCTGTACGTTAAGTAGGGTTGTAAATGAAATATTAAAGTCAACACTCTCTTTATACTGATGCAAAAGGATGACATTTGATTTCTATTCGATGTGAAATTCATTTCAATATTTTATTTGGGTAAACAAATAAAATGATAATCTAAGGGTTCATTTGATATGACTTTTGAAAAGTTAAAATAAAATTTTGGACTCGTTTGATTAATTTTATAAAAGTACTTATCATAGTAAATTTTTTTTTTTTTAGAGAAAGTTGACATGATGTAACTTTCTCTAAAATTCTTCTGAAAGAGGAAGTAATTTTTTGAATTAATATTTAAACACCAATTGATATAACCCACTCAAGAAGTTCTTTTACAAGAACTAGACGAAAAAGTAGAAGCCTTGTCAAATGCACCATAATTACACTATCAATTAGAATCTAACAATTTACACCATGCTATCATCCACGTTTAAAATTAGTGTTCTAAAAAGCTCACTTGAGCTCAAAGCTCTGGCAAAACGCCTCGCTTCAATTCTTAAACGGTTGAAAATTGCAATCAATCTGTATACCATATTGAAGTGTCTTTTCTATTTTCAACTGTAGAATTCACTTTTCTCCTAGTGGGCCCCCATCCATGATCTCTTTGCATTTTGTGCTAGAAATCTGCCTCGTGAGAAATCGATTCTAAGCCAACTTGCACTTTTATGACCCCACCTCTTTATGCATATTAATTGCTTGCTCCTATAGCATATATCATTTTTCGAAGGTTAGGGTTGATCAACCCAGAGTAATCATCATTACAGTGACATAATACTAATTAAATTGAGGATAAGGTAGTAATTTAGGTTTAGAATACATGTTCAAGACATGTTGACAAATTATATCTTAATTTATCTAATCGTATGATGTATTAAATCAAACGTAACTAGATTAAATTCAATAATGTTATAAAGAAAGATACTTCATATATTTTTCATAGTTTAAGATTTCTCGAAAATTTAACATGAGCTATTAATTTTGCTTTTAAACTGATAAAAATTTCGTCTTACGTCCATTTGAGCTTGTTCAAATATACATAATTCAATCGCATTCTTTGGTCTTCTTGAAACTTTAAGGCAATTAACAAATCATTAGCGATGGATATATGAAAATATCTTCTAACGTGGATTTTAACACAATTAGACCTTAGCCATGAATTTGACCAGCCATCAGCGAAGCATAAAACAGCATGCGAGGAGACAAAAAGACAAAAGGCTCACGCAAAGATCTCAAACCGTTCGCTAACTACATGTTGACTATCAATAAGAAACATATATATTACTAAATAAAGCGTGACTTTTAACTAAATCAGTTAAGAAGCAACCAATAAGAAGTCACCACCTGTCATAATGCAGAAATGACCAAACTATTTCAATGCTCGGAAGGAAATTTATAAATATCTCTATAATTGAAGAACAATGCATACAATTCCAATATCCCTTCTCAAATAGCTACTTTCCCTCTTGTTCTAGTTAAAACATCTAGACTAGTGAGTTTAGAAGGTGAAACTCATAGTTGGTGAGATGATTTATTGATTGTATTTACTTTTGATCTTCGATTGTAATTGTTTCATCAATAAAATCGTTGGATCCAATTTTTATCGTCAACGAGTTGATGCCGTCATAGGAAGATCGAGCAAAGTAAACCACAAATCTGCTCACTAAAGTTTAGAAGCATTATGAATTTGGAAGAATAAATGGAGTAGAAGTAGATTTAGGTATACTCAAAGAACTAAAATTCGGAACAGAGGAATCTAACAACGATTAAGTCAAAAGTGAAATAAATCCCTAGCTGATGTTTCTTCCATCCAATGCCGTCTTTCATGGAAAAGAGTGCCCATTGTAGAGGAAATTCGTGAAATTGCAAAAAAAAATAATAATTTTTTTTTTGAAGACGTTAGAGATGAAAAATGCGTATATACTTGCAAAATATGAGAAGCCAAAAACGACCTAGCAAGAAAAGGGAATCGGGGAAAATTAGCACATGATGCTGAATTCTCTTCAAAAGCAATCATCGATTGCGAGTGTCACAAATTTTTAGCGTTGCTCCGATAGAAAAACGTGGAAAAAATCGTAGAATAATAAATCCTTGGTGAACGGAGCAATGAACTAGAAAAGGTTTCACGACTAGAGGCTTAGCAAATGAAAGAATCAAAGGACGAGAAATTATAACAAGTTCTTGATAGTCATTCAAACTGTTGAGGTTGTCCCACATCGATTGTGGACGAGGTTGGTATTCAGTTTATAAGTATGAGGAAAAGTATCACCTCTTGAGCTATCTTTTGGGGTGAGAGAGGACTAACACCACCCAATACTGGTATCAGAGCCTGATTTATCAACAAATTTTCATCCCAAACAATCATGGAGATATGGGTTTGTGTAAAGGGGAGACGGATTTGCTCTCCCGCAGGCTCTATTGTGTGAAGGGGAGATGGTTTTAGTCTCCTGCAGGTCTCGATGTTTAGGGAGAGACGTGTTTTGTCTCCCATGAAGCTTGATGCGTAAAAGGGAGATTGTTGAGATTGTCCCACATTGGTTATGGATGGAGTTGATATTCAATTTATAAGTGTGAGGGAAGTCTTATCTCTTGAGTTGGCTTTTGGGGATGAGAGAGGTTCAATACTACCCAACACACTTGTTACTAGATAATCAAGATACCAGATTGATTTGATATCAATTGTTATGAATTTGGATTGCAAAGATATTGACAATAGTGAAATAAGCACAAAAGTAATTACACAGATATTTTACACGAAAACCCAAATCGGAAAAAACAATGGGCAGAGATGGAGTAATTCATTATAATTAATAGAAATTGTGTTTACAATATTAAGACTTAATGCACTCAATTGAAATCTAAGGCTCTAAGATGTTGTATAGTTTTTTCTCTCTCAATCTCTCAAGATTTTCATGTGGGTTTAATACAATACACGACCCTTTGTATATATAGAGAAGCCAAAAGACCTAGTTGTAGATGAATAGGAGTCCAAGATACATTAAAATGTGAAAAAGCTAAGAAAGACGTCGCTCTAAGATGTTGTATAGTTTTTTCTCTCTCAATCTCTCAAGATTTTCATGTGGGTTTTGTAAGTATTATGCCCTATTTGGTTTTGTCATACCACGTGACATTTCTCGTCACATGTATTGTCCTGACACATTGCTAGATGTCAATCAGGGACGGCGAATGTGAATTGACGATAAATTAAAAGGGTGTTTTAATTTATCAATTTTGATTAGATCAAAATAATATTTCACGTCGTTAGGCATCGTGGTCAGGAACCTAATGGGTCACACACAAAAGAGAATTGGAAGATTGCAAATTGTCAATTGGTTAATTTAACAATAGTTGGATAAATTAATTAATTGGATTTGTTATTTATATTTTCGAATTAATTAATTAGATTAATTAATTCACGGACCGGGTTTAATTAATTGGATTAATTAATTATTGGACCGGACCGGGCCGAACCTGTTTGGGTTTATATAAATACATAACTAGGGTTTGAGGTCCATTAAGGTTTTCATTATTCTTATTAGCACAAGAGAAAACCCTAGAGGCTGCAATCATATTCTCTGTGTGGATCACCGTTGGAGGCTGGACAATTGGACAGCTGTGGTGGCGAATCAAAGTTGTGGAACGAAAAGAAAAGCAAAAGGATTGCAGATCTGGAAAATATACAATCTTATCACAATTTCTATCTAAACACAAAGGCGATTCTTGGTGGGAATCGAAAATTATTTTAA